CTCTTTAGGAAGGTTAATTTTATATTTATTAAATTTAGAACACAGTTTTTCATGTTCAACTAATTTATTTTGCTGATGGAAATAGTTCAGACATCTATCGCAAATAAATTTTTTCTCACGATGTTTATTTAACTGGCTACTAATAAGACGCGAAAGATTTTTAATCCAACAATAGTGATATTTAATTTCATCGATTGAATCATTATCTTCATTCGCTAGTGGTGGAGGGGCATCATAATCATTTAAACGCGGATAATATTTATTTTGAGCTAAAAGTAAATTAACATGCGTATCCCGTTTATTTTCCGTTAATCTTGCTGGTACTACTATGTAAAATGATTTTTTTTCTGTTTCGATCAATTCTAAAGCGTAAACATTGACTGAAATGTTATTCATCTTTTCAAATTTTGAAATTTTTGTTAGCAGCATAGGACTATCTAAATTTTCTGTTTGTAAAACGTCAGTAAAGTGTGGATATGAGGAGGTTAGTTCTGCATGTCTTTTTTTGCTAGGAGTCCGAAGAGCGCTTACAATGGCCCAGTAAAAGCAATTTTGATCTATATTTTTAATGTTTATACAAGCATTTTTCTTTATAATCGGTTCTGGTAGTCTAATATAAGATGAACCGTTTCCCAATTGATATTTACTGATATTAACAACTAAGGAAATAATTTTATTTAACGCAAATCCCGAATCTTTTCAGCAAATTCCGATAATTCGTTTAAAAGTTTATCTTTAACATATATCTTAAACCACTCGTCTATTTGAGTTGATGTATCAATAATATGATTTTTAGTATTAATATATTTAATTCCCAAAATTTCATTATCCCCCGATTTCCTAATAAACTCCCCGCAAAATGTTGTATTTACTTTGAGCGCACAATGGGTGTTCAAAATATTCCTAATTTTCCTTTTAAAAACAACTACACAATCTGCTAAAAATTGATTCAAGTCCTTATGACGCAAATTAGCTATGGAACCGGTTTTTATTCTACTTTGAAAGCTCGATTCTACATTTTCCCATCTAACCCTCTGACCCAATGTTAAGTGAAGTCCTGCCCCAATATGTCTAGTTAAAATCAACTTTCTAAAATGTTTAAAATGCCCCAAATTTGTTTCTACTTTTCTACAGGTCCCTACAGATAATTTATTTTGCCTTCTACTACGAATTACCCGTTTACATAATCTAATTTGTTTTTCTATTCGTTTCAGCCACACTTCCGCGTCTCTGATTGTAAAATTATCAAATAAAATTTTCCGTAGACTAACAATTGATAGTAGAACACCGTCTGTTTGTTTGATGATCTTTTTAACCTTATTTGAAGACATTTGAAAAGACGACATTTTTTTTTTTCAAGCAAACACATTACTCAAAAATATATAAAAATGCTCACCCTGTCCTCCTCCTGTTCTCTGCTTTGTTAATTTTCCACCACTTTGAATGATGCTAGCGGTCGGCTTTTCCCTACGTCCACTTCCCCTTGGAAGATGATCGAGTATTTTCCGTGAAAAAGTTCGTCGATGACCGGCTGGTACGTTTCCGTCACCCGCTGTGGTAGAAATAGCACTTCCGGTCCTAAATCTAGTAGCACGGCTTCCCCAAATTTCGACTTGACCACTTTAGCTGCTTGGATTGCAAATGGTGTCCCAACTGGTAGGTCCTTTAATTTTCTGATAGGTTTGCGGTCTACAATCGAAGACGCAGCATTAATTTTTGATAAATCCATCTATAAAAAAAATTGAGTCGTCTAACTATTTTGAAGCATAACACGAAAAAAAAAACAGTTGCATTTAGAGACATAAAAAAGAAAAATATTAAATAAAATAGCACTTACTTTTTTTAAAATTTTCGCTCTCTCGTCTCTCTCGAAGCACTAATTGTACTGCGGTCGTTGTTACAGCTTGCAGCGTTGTGCGTTAAGTGTGAAACAATGATGACTATTGCATGCGCTCGCTCAATATAAGTACGTAGTAGAGATGACACACGCGTGCATGAGATAATTGTATCGTAAATATGCATATTATATGCATCATATTCTCAGTACCATTTTTATCGAGAAAACTGCATGCGCTCGCTCAATATAAGTACGTAGTTGAGATGACACACGCGTGCATGAGATAATTGTATCGTAAATATGCATATTATATGCATCATATTCTCAGTACCATTTTTATCGAGAAAACAACATTCATTGCGGTTGCAGTATTTTTTATATAATTTCTTAGTAATACATGAATGTATCGTTTGTCCGGCGGAAATTCCAATTACAAGTTGCACATGAGAGTAGAATTTTAGAAATATAGAAATTCGTGTATGATTATTGTATATTTGCTGCCTAATTTTTTTTCAGTCAAGATTTTGATTGGGGGGGTAAACGAATTTATATTTGCTATCTGAGATTTTTGACATCATTCTCTATCAAGATGTTGATGTGGGTAGACGTATTATTTTTTATTTCAACTTTCACATACGTGCTTTGCAACGATTTCTCCGAAAAAGACGCTATAGTATACCTAACTCAATATGAACATATCATCGATAATACAACAGATCTCTCTACTTTGCTAACTAACTTGCAAGAAAAGTATAATTTACCAGTGGATGGATTGTTGAATAATGCAACAATTGAATTTATGAATCGTCCGCGTTGTCAATACAGTGATGCTGAATTTAGAGCAAGTTTTCCATTTCGGAAACATGACCTGAAATGGTATTTCCCTCGAAACACACCTGCGGCCCAAAAAGATGCAGAAATGGCTTTTCAGATGTGGCAAAATGTTTCAAACTTAACATTTACAATGGTTACCAATCCCACTCTATATCCTCCTGATATTACTATAACCATGGTTAGCAAGACTCATTATTTTAGCGCAAACTGTATGGGTAATGATGAATGTCCATTGACATTAGATGATGCTGGCGGCGTTTTAGGACATGCATACTTTCCTGACTCTAGCGGCACCTGTAGAGAAATCCATTTAGATATAAATGAACGCTGGTATTTTGGAAGAAATAATCCTAATATACCCAAAAATCAAACTAGTTTTCTTATGGTGTTGGTTCATGAAATTGGACATGCCCTCGGCATAGCACATAGTGCTTCTCCGAATGCTATTATGTTTGCCTTCTATCAGCATGAGATTCGTGGTCTAGATGTTGATGATATAAATGCAGTACAATATCTATATGGAAGAAAAAACAAATATGATTCAATCCCAACGTCTACCACCGCATCAGCAATACCAAAAACAACAACAACTATAAGATCTACAACTCGTAAGCAGCCGATCCTCAAAAATTTGTGTGATATTATTCCAGATTTTATGTTTTTAGCCATTGCTCCAGAGTTTTCAAATTACCGATTATATATTGCACATGATATGTTTATATGGAAACTAGACTTAAACGAAATGATTATCCCATCTCAGCCTGAACTTCTTGTCGATTATGTTCCTACAGAATTACGTCAATACACTTTACAACATATTTTCCAATCAACAAACGGTGACTTGATTACCATTGTGTCTCCAAACAACTATTTCTCAGCATCATTCCCTACCATTAAATTTCTTGATAATTTTTCAATTGATATACCCGATAGGGCTCAAATCAATGCTATTTTTCAATCAAACGCAGGACGGTCCTATACCTTTTATAATAATATGTCATATATAGAATTTTCTAACGATTTTACTGATGTGTTGAACAGAGGACGGATAAGAGACATATTTCCTGAATTACCTGAAGATATTTCTCTCGCATTTCGATGGATTGATGGCCATATTTACTTTTTCCGTCACGCAACTTACTATAAATTTAATGAATTTACAAGAAAAGTTGTTGCGACCGGACCATTTCATTGGACTCTATTTGGAGTACCATGCCCCAGCGAGGATTTGTTACATCAACTAAAAACTCTGTTATCTAAACTTGTATCTGTATATCATTAAAAAATACATTTTTCAGAAAGCTATGTTTATTTCGTATTCAGCCTGTTGTCAAACAAAAAAAAAACAGTCGGTTCCTTCGACTCCCCACCCCCCCACCATCATTCTACTACATAAAGTTTCATTTTGAACGATATCATCCTGTATAATAATAACAGTACATCGTATACAGGTTATGAGACATTCTGACCGACCGACCGACCGACCAGAGGAGCCCACCACGCTATTTAGGTCACGCCTTGCTATATACGATTTAACGATATACCGTCGGTCCATCGATCCGCTATTTTTCGATGCACCCCTGTATACACGTTGCCCCCCGTAATCCACGCCAACAACAGACAGGTGCGACATCGGCGCCATCTATGCGCGAGATGCCCAACCCATCAATGGCAGCTGTCCAATGACACATAGATTCCGTTTGGTTTGTACAGCGCCAAACAAATCGGCGCCATCTATGCGCGAGATGCCCAACCCATCAATGACAGGTGTCCAATGACGTATAACAGATGACGTTTTAACGCCATCTATGCGTGAGATGCCCAATGACGCATGACAGGTGTCCAATGACACACAGATTCCGTTTGGTTTGACAGCGCCATCTAGCGGCGGAATCCCCAACTCATGAATACAGATTCCGTCCAACAACCTGTCAATGGCGCGCGACGCCAGCGCCTCTGGTGGCGGATTTTGGAAGTTTTGAGACCGAATCCCCATAAGACATCTACTGTTTGAACATTTATTGTAGAGTGTGAGCATGACACTATCCATCACTCCGTCTAAGAAGAAAATGAAATTTGTAATAATGGAAACTGAAAGTTCATCACAGGGTGTAATTTTTTCTGATTTTTCTTTAAAGTCTATAATTTGAAATGTACACGACTTATATTATATTATATTTTTCTGATAACTGGGACACCCTGTATACGTACCTTGTTTGAGAAGGCCATCCTTGACCTTGCACACTATATCTCGCCCAATTGTTACGATGTAATATCTCTATCTTTTTGTTTCAGGTATATCAAGTGGCATATGTTGTGATCCAATCAGCGATATCTCCGAGACCAGGCGCTTGGGTTCTGGAACATTCCGTGGATGGCGAAGACTTCTTCCCCTGGCAGTACTTTGCCAGGAACGATAAGGAGTGCTACGAAAGGTACGGAGTACCAGCGACCAAGGGAAAACCGAGATATACATCTGACACTGAAGTCATCTGTACCTCTTTCTACTCGAGGTTAACACCATTGGAAGATGGAGAGGTAAGAGTCTTTGGTGTTACTTAATCAAGTTCTTATTGAGGTATTCTTTACAGTCTTACCTCGGTTTACTCGAGTTTATGAGAAAACCATGAAATACGGCTGACACTAAGGTGATGTGTACCTCGTTTTGCTTTAGGCCAACACCATTATGAACATGGAGAGGTATACAGGGTGTCCGCAAAGTTGGGGTTTTCCTTTTCAGAAACAACTACCCTTGAAATAACAAAGGTAATGTGTAGTGGAACGAGGGCGACCAAGTAAAAAAAAATAAAGAAAAAAGTACTCACTCTCTAGTTGACGAGAAGGGCTAAGTACGTCTCTGCCCGAAATCATACCGCTCCAACAGAAAATGAAATCAGCTGATGCCTACCGAGCAGACGCCGGCGGTGATGCAGACCAGTAGACCACGAACAGAGGTAACAAATATGACCATCGTACAGAAACCACATTGATTGTCTTACACTTAATGGCACATCTTCTAACAAGGAAGGCAAAATGTTGCGTAAAAAGTCTAGGTATCGCATCCCGTCCAATCGATTTGGGAGAATAAATGGTCCAATGAGCATACCGTTCACCATGCCAGCCCAAAGATTCACCGAAAATGTTTGTTGAAAATGTACCCGACGGACAGCGTGCGGAATTTCTACTGACCAAACATGAGTGTTGCGAAAGTTATTTACCCCATTAAGCGTGAACGTAGATTCGTCTGTCACCAATATGCACTTCAAATGGTCCGTATTATTGTCATGTTGATGCAACAACCACTGACAAAACCGTACTCTTGCTGGAAAATCGTCAGGTTGAAGGGCTTGTACACGTTGGACGTGAAACGGATACAGCCCCTCTTCACGCAGCGTTTACCACACTTTAGTTTTTGATACTTGCACTTCTCTAGCCACGTCTCTAGTGCTTGTTGAGGGATTCTCGTCTACGCGATTACCTCTACACGCGTGACCGTAACCGTCAGTTGAAGGTCGCATACTGACCTGACACACTGACCCCGACCCAGTTCTGTCGTCGGGTTGAGTCAGTGATCTTGTACCAGTCGGTGATGTCGCGGCTACAGGACGGTATTCAGATATTTTTGATGTTGCCGAGCCCTTTATCTCGGTTCCCTTAAGACATTGATGTATATGGTACTAAGAAAAATTGCTTATGTTTTCAAGATCTACACGTCGTGTAAAGGGAAACCCCAACTTTGCGGACACCCTGTATAGTATGTTTTTCAAATTATTCATGGGAGTATCTATTGAAGTATTTTTGACATTAGGGAGCGAGTAAAAGGAAACAATGTTACACCTCTGACTCCGAGGTTACCTATACCTCCCCCTACTAGAGGCTAACATCATTAGAACAAGGAGAGGTAAATGTAATGTCAAGTGATTTAGAAAAATCATTATTAGATTTATCTATCAAACATTTCTTTTCAAAAATAAACCAAATAGAATGATAAGAAATGGCTGTGTGAATTTTTCTCAGAAATGAGTCATTTTATCGCCCGTTTTTTCCAGGTAAATTATCATTTTTGAGCATTTATGTTTAAATGAGTTTTTTACTGAGGCCGTCATGTGAGGCCCCAAGTGGTTACAAAGCTGTCCTAATTTCATTGAATTATAAAATGTCGTTAAGATAGGAAAAATCGATGTTTCCTAGCTTCCTTCAGGGGCCTGTATAGGCCCGTAGGACACTTTTATAGGAACTCATGGCATTATAATTATTTGATGTATTGAACAAGCGTTCGACAGACTGCCTTCTTACTCTGGGACGTCCTGCATACCTATAACAGTGATACACTAACTACCACTTTCTCATTCAATACATAAAACGGAACTGTATCAAATATAACATATTGAGTTATTGTTTACAAATCTCGGGTGTATCCCCTCAAGGGAGATTTTATCTCTAATGCAGAATACCTATGCCGACAAAGCCCCTCTGGGCGAGCATAATGTTACGTTGCTATTCCAATGATAGGTTGTAGCGATTTTGAAATACGGTGAAAGAGCACGATAATTGCTTAGCATATCGGCACGGGTATTACGTTTCTTAAAAAGTGACATTATGCCAATTTTTTTGTTGAGATTATGTAGGTTTTTCCACAAGATGTTAACTTTGCACTACCTGATGCTTGGTGAACTCATTTTGTAGTTGTGTGTGTTGCCTAAACGTCATGGGGCTTCGGTCATAAATGTTTGGCTCTGATATGATGTAAAATCTACTCCAAAGATGGCATTACTCGAGGTCTAGGCTGAGGCACAGTGAGGATTTGTGTGATAGATAGATAGATAGACATTTATTTCCAACAGGTACATGTGCACCCAATAACAGGAAATGCGTAAAATCAAATGAACATTTCGTTGTATGTAAAAGAAAAAATATAACTAATGTTAAATTAAAAATAAACATTTGAATAAATAAAAAAGAAATTTCGAAAAAGTTACATATTAAATGTGATCTGCAAAAAAATGAACAATGAGGTAATAGAACAAGTAGAATCATTTAAGTACCTAGGAGTACAAATAGAGAGTAAGGGTTCCCAAGAAGCAGAAATAAACGCACGAATAGCAAATGCCGCCAGAATATATCACGCAATTAAGAACAAGTTCCTATCCAAAAGAGAAGAATCACAAGAAGCCAAAATCAGTATCTACAAAACAGTATTTGTGCCTGTCGTGACATTCGGAAGTGAGAGCTGGACTCTAACCACCAGACTAAAGAGCAAACTACAAAGCATGGAGATGAAGTACTTAAGAAGGGTAATGCGTATAAATAGGATGAGCAGGATACTGAATGAAGTATTACGAGAATGACTACAAGTACAGCCAATCCTCAAGAAAATAGAAGAGGCCCAGCTGAGATGGTTTAGACACATGCTCAGAATGAACCATGACCGACCAGTGAAGCAAGTATGGGAAGCAAGGAGAAGATACAGAAGACCAGACGGGAGACCAATGAAAACGTGGGACAATGAATTAAACGACATCCTGCAAAGAAGAGGAGCCACCCAGGCGCAAGCTAGAAGGACAGCTAAGGATAAGAAACAATGGAGAAAGTTTGTATATCAAGTGTAGTTCAAGACTATTAAGACTAGTTAAGTTCAAGAATGTACACCCAACAGCGCAAGGTAAAAGTGTTAGTGATTATATACAGGGTGTTTCAGTTTATTGTTGCATAACTTTAAGATTCGATAGAACTTTTAAAATTAATACATAGAGTCTATATAAAAATGCGTGGCTTCCGAAATACAGGGTATTTAAATTTACTTTCTAAAATAGTTTTTTTTTAATATTTCGAACAATATTTGATGTATAACAGTGAAAATTGGTATACAAGAGTTTTCTGGTACGACAAAACAAACCACGGGCATAGTTTTACTGTAGCCGCTAGAGGGCGCTCTCTCCTGTACCTGTAGCGTATTAAAATGGCCGAAAAATTTTTCTTAGTGCATTTTTCTGCTTTTTGAATAAACAAACTGATTCTTCGCACTTTTCAACATAAAATAGCTTCTTCGAATTTTTAAAGGCTGAACATGCAAATGTGTGCGATGATGTTATGTTAGATTTGAGAAGATTGGCCTGGTTCCAGCTTGATGGTTGTCCAGCTCATTATTAGCAAAAAAGTAGTTGCTCGAAATGTAAACCCAATGGTTCAATACACAATTCACATCTACGAATGATCGTGGTATAGCATTATTCAAATAAGGCCTTATTTCATCACATGCATTCCTGATTCTGTCTATTAGCATATCTCTTGTGGTTACGGGAGTCTGGTACACTTTTTCTTTTAGAAATTCCCACACAAAGAAATCTAATGGATTTAGATCAGGGGATCGTGGAGGCCAGGCGACTGGTCCTCCACGGCCGATCCATCGTTCTGGATAATTTTCGTCCAGCCAGTTTCTAACTATTCTCGAATAATGAGCTGGACAACCATCAAGCTAGAACCAGGCCAATCTTCTTAAATCTAACATAACATCATCCCACATATTTGCATGTTCGGCCTTTAAAAATTCCAAGAAGCTTTTTTATGTTGAAAAGTGCGAAGAATCAGTTTTTTTTATTCAAAAAGCAAAAACTTGCACTAAGAAAATTTTTTCGGTCATTTTAATACACTACAGTAGAGGGCGCCCTCTAGCGGCTACAGTAAAACTATGCCCATGGTTTGTTTTGTCGTACCAAAAAAACCCTTGTATACCAATTTTCGGTCATTTTAATACACTACAGGTACAGTAGAGAGCGCCCTCTAGCGGCTAGAGTAAAACTATGCCCGTGGTTCGTTTTGTCGTACCAAAAAACTCTTGTATACCAATTTTCACTGTTATACATCAAATATTGTTCGAAATAGTTAAAAAAAAACTATTTTAGAAAGTAAATTTAAACACCCTGTATTTCGGAAGTCACACATTTTTCGACCCATGTTTATATAGACTTTATGCATTAATTTTAAAAGTTCTATCGAATTTTGAAGTTATGCAACAATAAACTGAAACACCCTGCATATATATATATATATATATATATATATATAATTATTATTAATAAAAATTAAAGCTTCCGCCTTTTGTTGGGTACTTCGACAAAATTTAAGCAAAGAGGACTCTTTATACTTTTTTAATTCTCTCTAGCTTTCAATGGACTTTGCCATCATCATCAGGAGAGTAGTATGTGAGGATGTTGCTAATTGTTGTTTACGTATAAGATGAGGGAAACGTCCAGTAACATGGTACAATGGTCAAAATTATATAAAATATATATATATATATATATATATATATATAGGTGAAAAATTAAAGCTTCCGCCTTTTGTTGGGTACTTCGACAAGATTTAAATTTAAATTTAAATTTAAATCTTGTCGAAGTACCCAACAAAAGGCGGAAGCTTTAATTTTTCACCTAACTGGTCTAGACGACAATGACCACGTCTCAAGTTATATATATATATATATATATATATATTGTTACAAATTATCGAAATAGGCGACTTAGCTAAAATGTTGGTTCTAGGGCATTCACATTAAAATACTCTAGAATTTCTGGTGTTGCGTCTGGGCACGGTAAATGGAATTTTACTTAACAAAAATTCACACATTATGTCCCCATGAATGAGTTTGTACCAGAAACTCGTTGTTAGAAAGATACGTCGTGCGGTAAGAGAAATAAAGTTTGCTGCATTGAGCAGCAAAGAGTAATCAAATCCTTTTTCCGGGAATAAACCAGTTTTCTTAAAATGCATATATTTCAAAAATTTTCTCTGAACACGTTCTATCTTACTAATGTGTATTGCGCAATGTGGGTACCAAATCAAGATACCATACTCCAACTTGCTACGCATGTACATAACTTATATATATAGAATATTTAGTACTGAAATAGAAAATTCTCTAGCGTTCCTCATGATAAATCAGAACATCCCATTAGCCGACGAAAAAGTCATGTCGATATGAGTTGGAAAAGACATTTTTTGATCAAATATGATTCCTTAGTCATCGATTTGCTCTTGACTCTTAAGGTAGTAGCTAAATTTAAGATGTTTAATTTCCTTGTGTAAGACACAAGAAAGCACTTGTCCGCATTTAAGTTAAGACGATTGGCATGGCACCATGAAGACACTGTGATAATATCTTGCTGCAAGACAAGGCAGTCATCGATAGTATTGACATAGTTGTATATTTTAAGGTCATCTGCATATAATAACTTTGAACAGTGCAAGTCAAGTGTGATAATAATGTGTTTTGATGACAACTCCATTGGATTCTTGTCTAAAATGCACTTACTTGAGATTCAAGGCTAGAAAATAGTTGCGCATCCACTTTTTCTTATCCATTCTGTAAATTACATACGCAAATTTGATGGACTTCAAAAATGAGAGAGGTAAGAAATAATTATACTCACTGTACACTGTCAAATGACCAGTCATAAACATGCTAACAGTAATTACACACATCGCGGGCGCGGTGGTGATTTTTTGTAATTCTTCTTGATGTTTTTGAAGACACAAAAAAAACGGGAAAAATTGTAACGTATAACTTTGAACATAACATAACCTCTCTTCAAAAAGAACAACACAAATAACCCGTCTGGCTCAGCTAATAGATATACTTCATTGGCAGCATAGTCAGTAATAATTTTCTCAATGTGTTTCAGACACACATCAGACTATATTTTGAAGTAAAAAAGTAAAAATAAAGAAACTCGAAGTTTCCTAAATTTTGATTTGTAAATGTCTGCCTAGGGTCGGCATTCTCGCAACTAAAAACTTCCAGAGCTTCTAAAGCGACACACGAGCATGAGATTATCTGTTGTTTTGGATGTGCCAGTCACGTCACCCTCAGTCATCGTCCCGAAAATGCCAAACAACGGCTGTCCGCATTCCGTCAGTATTCGTAAAACCTTCTAGTTGGCTAATAAAAAAATGAACAAAAAAGACCTACACTCATTTAAACGTAACAATAATCCTCTAATTTTCCAGATCCATCTATCGCTGATTCAAAGCCGTCCAGGTGCGAACGAAACCACGAACGCCCTTTTGGACTTCGTAACAGCCAGATTCGTGAGGTTCCGCTTCGAGGGACTTCGCGGTACCAAGGAACCACTACCAAAATGGTGGACATCCCAAAACGCGGCCAGAAGAGAGAAGAGTTTGTTCTATTCAATCAGAGATGTCGTGGTTTGGGGACAGTGCGTGTGTAATGGGCATGCGGATAGTTGCAGACACAACGTGGCATCTGGGGTAAGTCAAACTCTGAATTTTTTTAAATTTCTAGGATTTTGAAATATGCCGCTTTTGTCCGTCCGACCAAAGGCAGACAACCCTGTATGGTTTATCTGAAGTCACTTGAAATAGCATAAAAACCTTTGGTCGGCGCGTCCTTTGTAATTTCATGACGTATCATAGGCGTGCGGTTATTTATTTAGAACGATAATAATAACGTTTTTATATCACAATAAATGGATTTTACTATCTTCTTATTTTTTGATTTGGGATAAAAAATACTTATATTGGGAGTTTAATTTATGTTGGCTGAAACTTAAGAAATGGAAAAATTACAGAATTCCAACGTTTCACATAGGCAAATATTTACATAGCAGGTAGGTATATAAAAAGGTATATAAAGACTTACATTATAGGTATTTATATATCATCCTCGCTTTCGGAGCTGTCGCTAGAGTCATCTTGTAGAGGAATTACAACGGGATTTACAGGAGGCAAAACACAATATTCATTTTCTTTTTCAATAATATGCCTAGAACACTGCTTCCATAGGTCTGTGGCAGCAATATGAGATACTGCATCTCTTATTGTGGCCAATAGCGATTCACTTAATTGAGGGGTCTGATTATGTTTTCTTACTTTTTTTTTAAAGCAGCCCAGACCAACTCAATCGGGTTAAAAATGCAGTAATAGGGAGGTAGACGTAATACTTCATGGCCATTTTGCTCAAGCAGATTGTCAACAACATACTCTTTTTCAAATTTTTGTCTTTTAATAAGATCCAATAATATGGCTTTGGTTGATTTTTGTGGTATTTCCATTCCCTTGTCCTTCATAAAATCAATAATGTCTTGTTTTTTGTGCCTGTATTCGGAATTTTGTTTTTCTGTCGGGAATGGTATGGCGCATTGTCCATAATAATCACTGAATTTGGGGAAATGTTTGGTATTAACTGCTGCTCTATCCACTTTTCAAATAAGTCGGAGGTCATGTCCTCATGATATGCCGACTATTCTTTGATATTTTTGGCAGATAACAGCAAGGCATTAGGTATAAATCCATTTTCACTGCCAGCATGGAGAATAATGATTCGTTTTCCACGGTTGCATGGTGCATTTAAAATGCACTTGTTGCTGTCGCAACCCAGCCGCACTGCACAACATCATGGGTATCATACCACGTTTCATCCAGGTAAATCAGATTTCTTTTCTGCTCTCTATAGATTTTAACTTTGTGCAAAAATTCTTGGCGCAATTCAACGATTCGAGACGACTCCATAATCACCATTCTTTTATCTAATTTTTTGTATTGAAAACCACACAGTTTTACAATACAGTGCAGTGAGTCTAAGCATTTGTAAATATAAAAATCTTCAGGATAATCTTTTAATTTAACCCGTATCATTTCCAACGTGGGCACCAAATTTTCTTTATAAAATCCGTATATTATACGACGAATATCTTCCTGAAAACCCACGTCTATTCTTTTTAATTTTTGCCCTATGCGCTTTCTGTGGAAGGAATGGTTGACTACATCTCCCCTTTTTATAACCCGATAAATGGTAGACCGACTGACTTTTGTCAGGATACAAATTCTGTTTAAAATTTGATTTTGCGAGGAATCTGGATTTTCGTTTTTCAGACAATCATACATATTTAGGATTACTCTTTGGGTCTGTTCCTCTAAATCTTTATGAAAGAATTCTGCCTGCACAGGTTCATCAACCATCTCCTCGTGGCTTGGAGCATTTTCCCAAGGTCTCCAAAGAGCCATATTTAGGACACACAAGAACAATCAACACAACAATTAAATCAACAAGTAAACTGAGTATTCAAAAGTCAAAAACACACAAACTAATAAAATCCATGAAAAAACACGGACAGACTAAAGAAAACACGTTTATTCACCGCTACACGGCACTGGCTAAACTGTTTCAATTTTCAGTAGCCACGTGCACTTGTTCAGAGCTCTGAAATACACGCTTTCTCATTGGCTATGTCCACGCATAGGCGTGCTTTACTCCACGTGGACCGGTGAAACTGCCTTTGATCTCTTATACTTGCTGCGAAATTTGGCGATTTTTGCAGCAACAGAGCGTGTTAAATATAGATACATAAAACGCACCCGGTATTTCACAGTGTTTCAAGTGACTTCAGATAAAGTATACACTGTACAACTGTCCTCTATCCTAGGTACGAGATGTATCGAAGTAAAATCATCTTTTATCAGAATTGACCTCTGCGAGAGTGTATAGCAGCAATTGTAAATATTCCACTTCGCTTTTGATATTCAAGTCATCACTCTGACCGCAAGAGGCAGACGATTCTGGTGGTATAGTAGATGTGCTACCCACCACGAACTAAGATCCAACCGCTAGCTGCTATCCACTCTCGCATTGGTGGATTCTGGTAATAGATGGGGCTTTATTTCGATTGAAATCTTTGATTTTGTTTTTCAAATGTATAAAAAACTCATGGCCTTATTGCGAGGGCACCTTATTTACCTGGTATCTTGTGAATGAAAGAAAAAATGTCAAACATCAAAGAAAGTGGCTATTTGTGATATGAGACTTTCTTATAGTCCAGGTTATCGCTGAGCTGTTTTACAAAATTCTTATTTCGGTGGTTACGAGTATTAATATTTTGTTTCTACTTTTTGGCTTTTTTCTGTGAGTGGTTAAACTTACTTTTTAAAGTTCAAACGTAAAATTTCGCGTCACAATTAACACTTGAGCTTAGCGTCAATGTAATTAATTAAAACATTGTGTTGATAGAAAGGCCAGTAATGCATAAATAAACACAACCTTCCCAGCGATTTGAATAAGTGGAAGCGCTTACCAGAGTGACTATCATGATAAGAGTGTTGAAGAGGAGCCTAACATTAACACCATTAATTGTAGATATAATCAATGTCTGTATAATACCCTTGCATGCACTTCATGATTGAGCTAGCAACGCATTAACTACCGCTGCTGCAATCTCTCTTTAATGGCTCTCAGAAGTCAGAGGTTGTAACTGGAAAAAATTCTTTAGTGGAGGACGTTTTTATCAACTTGCCTGCTATGGAAAAGGTTGTGTACAGGATCTCAAACGCACTTGATATAAAAGATTCCAAGTGGACAATTTTTCAAGGCTTTTTATACTAATGCAAATGCTCAAAAAAGAACTAAGTACCGACGTAATGCTATAATGAAGGTAGAGATGTTGATACGCTAATGGGGTATACACAACAAAATTTATTTCAATGACATAAAAATATTTTGCCTCCAGAGACACGTTCTGAGTGTTTTAGTCTTTTTATAAATAAGTATTGGCAAAACTTGTACAAGATTTATATCTAAGATTCTGCACAAAAATTGTAAAGTAATAAATTCTGAGACTTGATGAGCTTTTTACGTCCTGTGCACATCCTCTCATCCTCAGCCTTTAACTTCCATTGGCAATTTAACATGAAATCTATGGTTGCACTTTATCAATATCTGTAATAAAAAAAATAATTCTTTCGACAGGAAATATGTGGAATTCAGATGTGTTTTCTTTCAATGTACGAATTTAAAATGTCTTTTCTCCTTAACTATGTATTTCAGCTACAAAAATTGCGAAATAAGAGATTTTAAATTGAGATATTATGTTTTTTGGATTTTATATGACGTCCGTCACGAAAAAACATGGCATTCATTTCCGTCGGTCTATCCGCTAATTTTATAACCGCCTATAACTCGGATTTTGATGAAATTTTCACAGTTTACTACTATGCCAAGGATGAAAAATCGATCTAGTGGTGGTGGAGCTAGGGCAAACACAAGAAAAAATAAAAATCGCTTAAACTTCGTTTTCTGATGTTTCAGTGGTTCTCGAGATCATTCTCGGAATTTTTTTTGGAGGGAATGAAACATGGAAGTTAGGGGCTATAGGGGACAGCGAATTGTAACCGTAACGTCTTTAGTATTATTTAAAGACGTTGTATCATTAAGAATCCAACTAACAATTATCACTCCTATTAGAGTTGCAAGAATGATTATACAGTATTCCTTACACAGCATTGTATACTGTAAGAACATTTTCAAAACCCTCTTAGAACAGCTATACAAGCGGAATGGGCACACCTAATAGGACACTTCAGTCATCTAAGAGGTTGTATAAGGGCTGCAGGTAACAGTTATACAACAAAAGTGTAAGCCTCTTGCAGCCGCTATAGGACATTTGCGTCAGTGCAAGATTCAGTTTTCTTCCACAAATCGTATATTTAGACATAATTACACTAATGTTTATCACTTTATATCTGTAATTTCGAACTGAAACATAATTATTTAATATTAAATAGAGGAATACATGTTTGCCCAATATGGCGGGTGGTTTATTAGAATATTTTGGTGTTACCTGCAGGTGTTATACAACAATTTGACAAATGTCTAAAATGAAATACCAACAGAGTCGAATGATTTACCCAGAATTTGCACCAGATCTATATCTTCTGTTTGAACAGTCGATAAAACCTTTTGAACCAATATGCATGCGTCGTTTGTCTTAAAACATTGGTTATGGCATTTTAACAAAAATATGACAGCAGAAAGTTATGTTATGGTGAAGTTGTATACCAACATATTTAGCATATGTACAGCCTTTAACAGTTACTAAACAACAGTTGTATAAGTGCTTCCGTTCTGAGCAATTTGTTGGCTAAAGTAGTAAATTGCACAGCAAAACAACAAGGCTCCGGTTTGTTTTATAAACGTTACCATCGATGCCACAACACAACCATTTTGACTAACGTGAAAAAATGCCGTATAAAATAATTGTATAAACGTTTAAGCAACAGTTAAAAATTTGCCCTATAAGGTGTTGTATAACTATGCTATAAGACTATCTTAAACACCTCATTTTAGAGCAAATATGTTGCAGAAAGCACATTTTGCATTCCACACAACATTAAGCCAGCATTTTGGTGTTCAGGCAACAACAGTAGAGAGCTTTTAAGGCTGAATGGTTCTTTTACCAAAAGCTTATAACACTACTTTG